TGAGCTTCACCAGGGACCCCAGAACCACCTCCCCAACCCCAATTCTGAGCCCCGGGTGAGGCTCCACCTCAGAGCTTCACCAGGGACCCCAGAACCACCTCCCCAACCCCAATTCTGAGCCCCGGGTGAGGCTCCACCTCAGAGCTTCACCAGGGACCCCAGAACCACCTCCCCTGACCCCAATTCTGAGCCCCAGGTGAGGCTCCACCTCAGAGCTTCATTAGGGACCCCAGAACCCCCTCCCCGACCCCAATTCTGAGCCCCGGGTGAGGCTCCATCTCAGAGCTTCACCAGGGACCCCAGAACCATCTCCCCGACCCCAATTCTGAGCCCCAGGTGAGACTCCACCTTGGAGTTTCACCAGGGACCCCAGAACCCCCTCCCCGACCCCAATTCTGAGCCCCAGGTGAGACTCCACCTCAGAGCTTCACCAGGGACCCCAGAACCACCTCCCCGACCCCAATTCTGAGCTCCAGGTGAGGCTGCACCTCAGAGCTTCACTGGGGACCCCAGAACCCCCTCCCCGACCCCAATTCTGAGCCCCAGGTGAGACTCCACCTCAGAGCTTCACCAGGGTCCCCAGAACCACCCCCGGGTGCCGGGGGGGTCCGTAGCCCACCTGGGTGGAGCCGTAGCCGCCCCCGAAGTAGTTCTGCTGGGCGAGCCAGCGCACCACAGGCCCCGCCAGCTCCGGCTTCTTCATGTGCAGCAGGGCCAGCAGCGCGTAGGACGTGCCCTCGATGTTGTAGGTCCGGGCGTTCCGCTCCTCCCAGCTCTGCCCACCTGGGGGGGGGGGGCGGGGGGCCCTCAGCACCTCCCCGGCACCAGGGACCCCAAAAACACCTCCCCGAAGCCAGGGATCCCAGAAACATCTCCCCGAAGCCAGGGATCCCACAAACACCTCTCCAGCACCAGGGACCCCACAAACACCTCCTCCTACACCAGGGACCCCAAAAACACCTCCCTTGCACCAGGGACCCCCAAAAAACCTTCCTGGGGCCAGGGACCCCCAGAACACCTCCCCATAGTCAGGGAACCCAAAAACATCTCCCTGGTACCAGGGACCCCAAAAACACCTCCCCACAGCCAGGGATCCCACAAACACCCCCCCCAGCACGAGGGACCCCAAAAACACCTCCCTGGCACCAGGGACGCCCAAAAAACCTTCCCGGCACCAGGGGACCCCCAAACAACCTTCCTGGGTCCAGGGACCCCCCACCAAATTTGACTCCTGAAAGCCCCAAATTGAGGCGCCATCTTTGGAGAACCTCATGAGGACCTTCTTGCTCTTGAGGTTCACCAGGGACCCCAAAACCACCCCAAGTACCCCAAAACGACCTCCCCAGCACCAGGGATCCCACAAACACCTCCTCCCACCCCAGAGACCCCATAAACACCTCCCCCCACCCCAAATTTGGCTCCCAAAGGGCCCAAATGGAGGCGTCACCTTTGGAGAACTTCATGAGGACCCTCTCGCTCTTGAGGTTCACCAGGGACCCCAGAACCACCCCCCTCACCCCAGGGACCCCACAAACACCTCCTCCCACCCCAGAGACCCCATAAACACCTCCCCCCACCCCAAATTTCGCTCCCAAAGGCTCCAAATCGAGGTGTCACCTTTGGAGAACTTCATGAGGACCTCCTCGCTCTTGAGCTTCACCAGGGACCCCACAAACACCTCCTCCCACCCCAGTGACTCCATAAACACCTCCCACCACCCCAAATTTGGCTCCTGAAGGGCCCGAATTGAGGCGTCACCTTTGGAGAACTTCATGAGGACCTTCTCGCTCTTGAGCTTGCCGGCCAGGGCCAGCGCGTAGGAGCTCAGGGCCACTGTGTAGGGCCGGGCCAGCTGCTCGTAGCGCCGGCCCAGGAACTCGGCGGCCTTGTTGATGCTCCAGTCCAGGTTCTGGGCACGGGGGAGACACAGTTGGGGTCCTCAGGTGGCCCTGACCAGGAGGGGGGGCCGGGGGGGTCACCTGAGGGGGTCACTCACGTTCACGTGCTCCTTGCAGGCCTCCCGGGCCTCCTCCAGTGCCACGAGGACGAAGGCGGTGAGGGACACCTCGGGCTCGGCCCCCTTGTAACCCCCCTGTGGGGCGGGACATGGGACACGGGATATGGGACACAGGGTATGGGACACACCTCGGCATCGTGGGGGGCCCAGCAGGACCTGTCCCTGTCCCCTCCCTGTTCTCTGATGTCCTCAATGTCCTCCCTGTCCCTGATGTCCTCAATGTCCTCCCTGTCCCTGATGTCCTCAATGTCCTCCCCATTCCCCTCCGTCCCC